GTAAAAATAAGAAATAGGTAAGTAAAATGAACCCAAAAAATGCATAATTTTTAGTTTAGGTAGGTAATGAAAAACAATAATTGAACAGTGAATAACTAGAGATTATAATTGCCTATAATTTATTATTTAATAATAACATATTTTAGAAATAGGTAAATATTACTCTTATTAAATTTAACTACAGCCAACAAATGTAAACTAATACAGTAATACAACCACTTAGTTTTATAATGGTCGATGTGGAGTCTGATTTTAAACAGATTTTAAGGCCAGGAATTTAGATTTAAAGTGTCTTTCTTACTGTGGAATATGTGAGGTCATACTCAGCACGGTACAATATACCGTATTGATATAATGATTATGGTAAAGAATTGTTATAACTTATTACTCATGGTTTTATATTGAGCAAGTCACACTAGTATGATACTATATTGGATATTTGGATTTTACTTAAGTATAATTTACCAAGGTTAAATCTTTTTCCGTCTTATTTTTATCAAAATATGAAAAGTTAAAATCTAAATCCAATAAAATTATAATATACAGTTATATATGTTTTGGAACACTCCCGAAAAAAATTTCTAGATACGGCCTTGTATACAAATACATATAATAATTAGTTGCACACTATTATCTTCGTGTGGTTATACAAAAATTTAAAATATTTAAGTAACACGCTAGCATGCAAAACGAATATTTTATATTATAGCTTACCTTAGATCTCGATCAAGTTGAAACACAAAAATATAATACTAGTATTAGTATAATACTATAGTGTCAAAGACGACTAAGAATTTTAAAATATTACGTGCACATACTACACTGTACACTTCAATAAGTATAATAATATAAGCGACGGCGATGTCAAATTGGCTAACACAATCAAGTATTCAAGGGTGACTTGACAAATTGACACAGGCACACTACAAACAGTCATAGGCGCAACTAGGGGGGTGCTTGGGGGTGCTTCAGCACCCCCAGACTTTAATTTAGCACCCCCAGTTCAAAAACACCATAAATTGTAAAATCGCGTGAAAAACATAATTTTGTTCATTTTACGCAAGTTATTTTTATTTGTCGTTTTTAGCAGAAACACAAATTGTTTGTGATGATTATAGTTATACGTTATATCAAATATTACGTGATATAATATATTAATATCGACAATATCGTAGCAGTCATAGATAATAAATTAGCAGCACGATTAAATATGTATATCTAAAATCGTGGTTAGCAGTAATCAATTGATATAATTTAAAAATATGAGGGTTAGATAACAGATAAGTGATAAATGGATAAAACCAGTAGTTTATTTATAGAATACTGTCACTAGTTTATTCGATAAATCGCCAAATGTCATTGTTCGGCTGTTCCACGAATTAACTATTTGTTTATCAAAAATCATATTATAATGTATACTCAATACTGTATACCGTATACGTTCTACTCGTTGACCATTGTCATTTTCTAAACCCATTACTGTACGATTGACGGTTGTAATAAAATATATTTTGTTTTCTCATGTGAAGTGTTTTAACTGTAACCTATAATATAAATTTCTGTTAGTATATTACTGTTAGTATACTTAAATATTGTGTGCCATGTTTTTATGGTTCATTTAAGAATGGTTATAGTAATTATAAGATTTAAATATGGTATTTGGGGGTGTGGGGGCATAGGCCCCACGGGTCTGTGTCCTCTACATAATTTTAGCACCCCCAGTGTTTGGCTTCTAGTTGCGCCTATGCAAACAGTGGCACCAGAATTACAAATACATCCACAAAATATTTATAAGAACTAAAAGCTCGTTACTGAAATATATTTATTTATAGAATAACAACAATAGGGTACGTACTACGTATTGCAACTAGGAGAAACGAGTGACTCGCGACGAGCCCGCACGTACACCAAGTGCCAACATAAATTATAAATGCTGATTAATGGTTACTGATTATACACTTATTCAAACAAGTTTGACAAAAAATTTTAAAATCAATGTACCTATAAATAGCTAGGTACACTCTTATTCATCTTTATGCATAGTAATATTTATTATTATGCCTAATCTATATTTTAAAAGCGACGTATTACACTTTATATATACCCTTACTCAATAACTGTGCTAGAGTTTGCGAGGCCCTGGGCAAAATAAATGTTGAGTCTTATAATTTCTATTAATAAAATATTTTAAGTTCAGTTAAATCAGAACCCTCCCCTCACGCCGTCCCTGCCCATACTTAATTATAATTAAATAGTATTAATATTATACCGTATGTTGAAAACATTCAAATATTATTATTAACTAATTTTACCAAAAATATTATAATAACTTTATTATTATTATTATTATTACCATACATAAAATATATTATAATATTATTAATAATTAAATACGGAAAAAATATTATAATAATTATATTATAATATACTTAAAATAATATTTGTATTACTGTATAAAAAAAAATATTATTATTGAATTACTGAAACGATATTATATTAATAAGATAACTATGTTATTACAATAACATTTTTTATATAATATTATCTATGTACTGTAATAATAATAATATTATATTATTATCATCACACAATTGCTATCTGGGGGTAAGTTTTCGCAATTTTGTGGGAGACCGAGGTTCACCTGAGGTGGTTTTACACAACATATCGGGGGATATTTTCGATTTGCGGAGCGGAGCGACAGCGCCGAAGAGCGTAGCGACGAGTGCCGAAACACGCGTAATCACTACAACTTTGAACTTTCATAACTTTTGAACGGTAAGTTTGCGGGAATTTTTTCAAACTGTTTTGAACTCAGTACAAAAAAAACCACGTATTTTGAAGAAAAAAAAGGGTGTCCGGTAAAGTAGATTTGTTCCATGATTTAAAATGAAAATTATTGGAGTGGTTTATTTTCATATTTTGAGGAACTAACTCAATGATTTGTGTTTTGTAAAATATTCATATTTCTATATATTTATGTATTATTTTTATTAGTTAACATGTCATGGTGAAATTCTGGTGTTTTATATGTGATTAATATGACTATTGTTTGCATGAAAAATTCCGTTTTTGTCTGGTAATTGTTTATTTTAAAATAAATCATCCGCGTTATTAAATTTAATATTTTAGAACAATACTTCTGAATCAATTAAAGAAGTGCTTAATAGAAGTTTTAAATCAAACAATGCAAAATATTCACCAGTGATTAGATCATTTGCATTAACTCTCCAATTTTATTCAGCTAGGACCAACAATTATGCCAGAAAAACATTTAAAAATGTATTACCAAATCTAGCAATAATTAAAAAATGGTTTTCTGTTGTTGGTAGATAACCAGGATTCATATTTGAAGCATTTGAAGCAATTAAGAAAAAAATTAAAGAAACACATGGTTTAGTTATTTGTAATATTACAATTGATGAAGTATCTTTAAGAAAGCAGATCATTTTTCTTAATGGTAAATTTTATGGAAAAATCGATTTGGGAACAAGGTAAGATCAAAATGACTCAGATAATACTCAACAAGCAACAAATGCATTAGTGTTTCTTACAATTTACGTGAATGGGCATTGGAAGGTTCCATAAGGATATGTTTAGTACACTCTTACAAGCAATGAAAGAGCAAATTTATTGACTAAATGTCTTGAATTATTTGTTGATACAAGAACCAAATGCTTTTCCATAATATTTGACGGGGCTCCAACATACAGCAATATATCAATCATTGTCAGCTAATTTTGATTACTTCTCTGAACATTTTCAACCTTGGTTAGTATAAACTACCCAGTTTATCCTATTGCAGGAAAAAATAAAATATTTATATTTTGGGACGCTTGCTACATGTTGAAGTTGGTTAGAAATAAAATAAGTGATAAAATAGAGTAAATGGAGAGACTATTCAATGGGATCATTTAAAGAGCTTACAAAATATTCAAGAAATAGGACTACATGCAGCCAATAAATTTAAATATCTCAAATCCATTACTTAGAAAATAAAATTAACGTTAGATTGGCTGCTGAAACTCTTAGTTCAAATGCTCTTATGTTTTGTGAAGAATTAAAATTAATGTCAGGATGTAAAGCTACAGCTCATTTCTGTAGAATGTTTAAATTAAAACAAGAAGAAATACCATGGTATTAAAAAATCTAAAAAATCTTTGTAAAACGAATACAGCTAAAAATACAGTTATATTTATTATTTAATTTTAGTAAATGTAGCTACACAATTATAGCCAATCCACTAAAATTATACAGTAACAATTAAATAAATATGAAAACAATTTATTTATAAAATTATTTATTATACATAATAATTAATAAAAATAATGATGCTTATCATTACTTCTGTATAAAACATAAATTGTTAGATGTTATACAATATATTGTAGGTCTTATACAATCCAAATTTTTTATCGAGTAACACATTAATTCCTTGGTTAAGCTTACATTATAAAATTGAAAGTGCTTATCAAAATAATGACAATGAAAAACATTACCTACATATTATAAATGGACTTTCATCAATGTCATGAGCAAAACATTATATTTTAAGAAAAAAATAACTTTTTCTGAAGGTGAGATATTATGAGGTTTTGTTATGAGCAGCAAATTACTAGATAAAAGTATATTTGCTTGTATATTTTTATGCTGATTTAAATGATTCTTAAATGAGTGAAAAATTCTTAAATAATTAAATTTGTTACATTTAAATACATCTATAGATTTAGGAACATGAAAAATGTTTAAATGTTTTATTAAATGAGAATGTAAAGTAAATGTTGAGTTGCATAAAAAACGATAAAGCATATTTATATTTAAAAGATACCTGTTATATTATAATTTAACAAAAAAATGTATGGACTATGTATTATGTATATATGAATGTGATTTAAAAAAAAAGGAACTATTTTGAGTACTTTAAACAGCAATGACAATTTATATTGACATTATACATATATATGAAATATAAAAATAAATATTATTTAAATCAGAGGTTCCCAAACTTTTTTTCCCTATAGACCACATGCCAATTTTTTCAATTTTCGTAAACTCTTTAAAATGTAATGCTTACAAACTCATCTAAGTGTTTTTCATAACTTACACGGAACTGCTCACCTGAATAGGCTTTATTATGGAATGCATTTTTTTTTAAATAAAAAACCTGTTATTTTTAATAATATCTTTATTTCTTTAATAAGGAAAATATTAAAATCAAGGTTGGATGTAAAACATTTTTTTTTAATCTTTAATCTTTAATGGGAAGGATAAACCTGATGCTTTGATAGTAAATTTTCAATATATGGCTTCAAATTAGTCAGGTTTAACCTCGAATCTCCTCTATTAGTAATTTCCAATCTATTTCTTTTTTTTGTAAGAAGAATGACAACTGTGCTGAAACCTTTTTCCATGCAGTATGACGATGGAAAATCAATCAAAAACTTTCTTGCGATTCTTCATAAAGCAGGTAAAGTAACAGGTATGTCTCTCTGAAGCCAGAACTACTGATACCCATTTCTAAATTGTACTTTAAGTTCATCGTTAATACTTATTCCGATCAGTTCTTCTTGTAAGTTCTTCTAGCACACATATTTTTCGTAAAAATTATTACACACATTTTTGACTCTCGTGAACCTATTTACACATGATGCACCCCCAATTTTTTTTTTTTTGTTGACATAGACCCCTTACAGATCCAAATCGATCCTCAGGGGGGTTAGGACGATATAGACCACTTTGGGAACCTGTAATTTAAATCGTTAATAAAAGTTTTAACAAATAATAATTTTTTGTCTGATTTAAGAGTTATATCAAAAAAATAATTTTGTATGAACAACCAAATTTGTTCACATTCTATGGAATAATTTAAATTTAAAAAAAAAAAAAGATTTAAAACACACATCAACCTTATAAAAAATATTTACCACGGTGTAAAAATCAGTATTGTTAACTACAATATATAGTTGTAATATAGTACCAAATTCAATAGCCTTCTGTATTTTTTGTTCATTTACAGATTTTAATTTGCAGACATCCTATAACAAAATGTATCATAAATTAGGATTTAAATAATGATTTTAAAAGCGATCATTAAAATTTAAGTATATAAAAATAAAAAAGTTCTCAGCCAAGAATTTTAAAAACCTAAAATTTAATTTAATAAATAATTGAATATTGAGATACCAACAAAAAATTTAAAAAAATTACTTACAGGTATAAATGTTACAAATGAAACGGCTTGTTTAGCATTTGATGGTCTATATGTTAATTTAGTAGTGTCTCTTTTACGTTTTTTATCCAATTTTGTAAACAGCGGTTGAAATACTAAAGGTAGCAGTTTGAAAATTGCTATGTAGTTATTTCCTTAAAAAACCAAATATAATATTTAGTCATAAACTTTTAATTTATAACATCTTAGCTATTGCTTATTACATAATATGTAATACTATAATCATAATACTACAAAATAAAAAATATTAAATATTATCTGGGCAAGAAGGAGACTTAAGTTCAGAAAGAAGAGTAGACTTGTTTTGTAACCCAAAATGATTAATATTCTTACTAATGTAGTAGTTGAACTTCGCTGTAAATAAATCAAACTTGAAAAATAACAATTGTTCCTTTCCAGAGTATAAAGTCAAGAATTCAATCTCAATCTATAAAAAGAATACCGTATGTCAATTAATGTTTATTAAAATTTGTCATACAATTTTGGAGAATACTTGAATTTACTCATTCAAACTTATTCTACTTAATGTTTTGAGTAACTAGTCAAACATATAATTAAAAATTTAAATCTTACTAAGAAATAACCCATAGGTTTTTCTTAAAGCAGGATAAAGTTCAACCATTGATTAAATATACATATATATATATATATATATATATATATATATATATATATATGTATATTTAATCAATGGTTCAACGGTATTTTCTTTAATTTTTTTTTTCTTTTTAATCGATAATTGGAAGTTTCTGTCCAATACTTATGTAGCACCTGGCTAGACTGGGTATTATTTTTATGCCACATTATTCTATCTTCAAATTCTAATTAATAATGCAAATTAAAGTAACTATAAAATTTAGGTAGGCTTATATCTATGAAAAATTACCTAGTTCAATAAAAGTATCATCTTCTATAAAAAGTTGTAGGATTATTTCATTATCTGTAGATGGAGTTATTTGTTTTATAAGCTTTTTTTAAGTTAAGTATTTATCATACAATTTTCCTCTTATTGGTTGTACACTTTTTTCTACTTTTAAGTAAAGAATGAAATTAATTACCCTAGTCTCGAATAGAAATAATTGTTCAATACCTACAAATTTAGATTTTAATTAAGTAAATAAATAGATAAGTTTATGTAAAACAATGCATGATAAAACTTTAGAAGGCTAGTTTGGTATATCAGTCATACATATTTTTTCTGAACAAGGTTATACAAAAACATAAATTATCACTAAAATACCTTTTGCCAATAAAGAAAATTTTTGTTTATCAATTTTTGAAGATTGTTGAATTTCATGTTTTAAAATGATTGATGTTAAGATATTTCAAATATTTTGATTTGATGTACCAACAGAATCGTAATAGCTCAATACAATTTATCCATCACTATATTTTTTTGTATATCATTAATATATTTTTTTTTATTTTTTTTTTTTATTCAAGCTACCAATATAAAATTATTACAGCTTAACAATTACAGCTAAAGATATGTTAACAACTAATAATACAAGATATAAATAGGCCTAAAAAGAATATATAATGACAAAAAAAAAAAAGAAAAAGAAAACAATCAGAGTTTAGAAAGTTAACAAGCTCAAACCTACAACAACAAAACAAAAACAAACAAAAGAAAAAAAAAAACGACAAAAAAAAACAGATTTAAATCAATATAATCAAATAGAGAATCCAGCATTTTCGAAGAATTTCAAAATAAAAATGATAATGGCTCTTGAAAAGGAATTAAGGATAACTGTAGGTTCTAAAGACATAATATTATTATTATGTAAAAAATGAAGCAATTTAGATCGGGAAATGGAGAGTGATGAACAATCGGCGAGAATGTGTGAGAAGTCGCAAATTGATTCTTCTGCATGACAAGTGCACAACGGGGAGTCGTTCAAGTCGAGGTGGAAGGCATGTGCGGGAAGTAAATTGTGACCAAGTCTGAGCCTGGTGAATCGGACGATTTGGGACCTGTCAAGGGGCTGGTTAACAAACCATGGGTGTCGTGGAATAGTGGGGGTTATGGATGTATACCACTTAGCGAAATCAGGAGCCACTGATGACCATCTATCTTGCCAAGCATGTTTGTAATTATTTTGTAAAATATTAAAAAGATCCGAGGACGGGATTTTACGCACAGATGGGTATAAGCTATATTTGGTGGATGAGGCGAGGAGATCAGCAACTTCATTGCCTGAGATTCCTGAATGGCCTGGGACCCACAAGAATTCGATTATTATATCCTGAGAGTATAATTCAAAACTTTAGAACGGATAATAGATTTATATACTAATAATAGTGAAGATGGGTGTGCGCTCCACCAAGTGCCTACTAATGCTCTGAGCAAATTGGACCATTTAGAAATTATGCGTTTGAGATAGTTGAAATGCGGGACCCATCTGAGCTTTGGGTCAAGAATGAGCCCAAGGTATGTGATTGTATTGGATGGAACTATGGACTATGAACTATGAACTATGGACATTATCTTCATGAATTTCAAAGTTTGATATAGAAGATATATCTAAGTTGTCTTTCGTTATGTATAAATAATATATTTTTATTGTAATTAATCTAAGTATTAAAAATAAAAATGTAATGCAAAAATAAAATAAATATTTCTTTAATAACCCACCTATTTTGTTTTCCAACAGCAGAAATAATATTTCAATTTGAACTGTAGCTACAATTTTTGTCGTATTTCCCTAACAGATTTAAGTATGTATGAAATATAATATTGTGTTAAACATATCTATAACTATACCTAGTTTATTATCATTTTCTATCCTACTTGTATATTTGTATTGTTTTATAAACAATAAAACAATTATCATTAAGTAGAGAACCTGAAGAAGTTCTAATAGATTGACTTTACTGAACATTTATAGTAGGGCTAATATGATTAATGGATGAAATATAAAATGTACCTAGGTCCTTACAACTTTCTTTTAAATGTATTGTACATTTACAAAATAAATGATTAATGTTAAAATGTTCATAATAGAATAAACAGATTAAAAATATTAAGAAAATAATAAAAAATTTAAAAACGGTAGGAAGGTATAATATAATTTATATTATATTGTATATATATTTGTATAATCCTTTAAAATTGTAAGATATTTTTATAATTATTTTTACACTCACATGAATTGTCTTGAAACTAACAAATGTATTAATTTATTTATTAATTCACCGGCCATTTTCTTAATTTGCCGATTTCTCATTGTTGAAAAGTCAGCATGATTCAAACTCATTTTTTCTCAATTTGTTTTTGCTTTTGCCATGAAATTATTGTAAGATTTTTCATTTCTGAGATTTTTTAATTTTGTTAATGCTGTTGAAATATAATTTTGAGCCATTATCAAATCATTTTTTTTCTTTTTTTGTAGTTAAAATTTTTATAAAATTAGTTAGTGTAAGTACAATATGCAAATTAAATTACTTTAATACAGAATAATTGATAATACTTGAAAAATTTATTTTGTACTAAAAATTAAAAACAATACTGTAAATAGTAATAGTTATGATAATAACTAGATTAGGTAGAATATACGCAATAGTACAAAGTACGCGGACGCAATGAAAACTGTATGATAAATAATAAATATGAAAATAAAAATAACCGATAACATGCAGTAAACACGAAATTACTACGAATATTGAATTTCCAAAATCTCTTATCTAAAAATAGGTACCTAAGTGTTAATAAAGCCGTACGACAATACTGGTACCTATTAAAGCGCGATTCAAAGTTGCATGTTCTCCTTCCACTTTTCTTTTTTTTAAAATGTCGTGAACCCATATAGATCGTTTTTTGACTACCGCACGGTCAATTTCCTCTTCGTCAGCGTCGAGCAATAACACCATCACTGCCAAATTTCTAAGTTTAAATTTCGAAACATGTTGAGAACAATTTCCGACCGTTCGACATGAAAATTGGAATCAACTGAGTGCGTGTCTGTCGTTTTTTATCGGTCGTGTGTGAATTGAACATGATTTTTGTCTGTCGTATCGTGTGGTGTCGTGTCGTGTCGTACTAGTGTGAATCGCGCTTAAAATACAATTATATTTACTCTTACAACCATTAGATATATTTGGTCGATAATATGAAGCCTTTCGATTATTAACAATATTTTTAGGTACAACAGCTATTTTAAATAGTAGATTCTACTATACACAAGCATAGGCGTAACTTGGGGGAATAAGCCCCCAATATGAATTTTAGTCCCCCTTATCATAATTTTTAGTCTTGCTAGCGTTAGCTGCATTATTAATTTTAATTTAAAATATCTTTTTATTTTTTTTATTAATATCTTGAAAAATATTAATTTTTTTTGGTTATATGTATCATTGTAATAAGGTTAGTGATAAGGTTTTACTACATAAATATTACTTAGAAATTATTGATAAATTAAACACAAACATTTTTTAATGTATTTAAGGTCATTAATCATCTTCTGAGCCCTAATTATTACATTTAATTTCTCAGTAAAAATGGTTGATTAAATTTTGGTTGAATAGTCTTAACCATAATCATTGATAAAATACAACTTATTAAATTAAATACATATAATATTATATATATATATACTGTTACGTGCCACCGGCTCGATTTCAAGTGTTGAGAGTCGAAGATGTGTTTAATTTAAATAGACATGAATGTATTGCACGTAACAATACAATATAGTATACACATTATTTGTTCAAGTTAAATTAACTATACAAAATTAAATAATTTGCAGTATGTATTTGTTTATTATTAACAGTGCATTCTTATATTTTTTCAGATTTCCTACTATCCTTATGTTAGAGAAAAATTGTGTAATTTTGTCATCGAATATAGCTTAAAACTTGATATTAATAAACATAGCTTAATATGTTCAAGTCACTTCAAATTCTAGAACACTACCAAAAACTGCAGTTCCGAATATCATAATTACTATAATGAAGAACATAAGTTATTCACTAAAATTACATATTCTTTACAGAAAAGTACTGTAATCCTTTTGATGTAAAGAAAAATATTGTGAAGGTAATATTTTATTAGTTGAATAATAGATCTATAATTATTATTAAAGCTTACTATTTATAATTATTAGAATTGATTTTTTGTGTCTTAACAATGTGCTGTTTTAACATTTTTAGTTACCTGGTAATAAGATTAATTCTGAAAAAGTTAAGTCATCAGATGAAGTATCAGAGTTTAATATATGTATGCAGTCTAACGTCAGTTATAATTATCACAGTTTAAAAATGTGCATGATGAATCATCGATCATACAAGTAATTTTATTACTTTTAATTAGTCTGTTGTTAATTGTAATAACTGTCATAACCATTTTTTTAAATAAAATTTGCCTGTTATATAGGTTATTGCTAATAAGCTGTGAAGGTATATCGCCATTAAATGAGTCTATGCAGTCAGATATTTGTTGTTTGGAAACTTCTACAGTTCTTACAGATACTGTGTGCCGGTATATGGGTACCGAAGAGTGCAACGAGAGATGAGTATTCAACTATTCAGCTTCGTAATCAATGTAAAATAATAATAATATTGAAATCAGTGCTGGCCCGACGGTTTTCGGAGCCCGGTGCAAAATTTTGCGGGGCCCCATACAAATATATTAATTTATTAAT